AACTAGATGGCCTTTAAACGCCCTTTCCAACCCAAACTATTCTATGAGACTATGATTATTTTTGGAGTATAAATATAAAAAAAGAGAAAATGTAGGAAGGTAAAGCCTAAAGCCTATGAGTCAGGCAGATTCTACTGACTTCACTGGCTGTCAATAGCACATCTGCACAAAGTTTTGATTTGCACCAGTGAAATTTTTCATGACTGTTTGTTTTGATATTGTTAACTGATATAAAGCTGTAATTTTTAGCAGTCTCTCTTCAGCAGAGACACTTTTAACATTCCTGAGTGATCAGAAAATTTTGCTCATGTAATCCTGAAACATAAATTGTCATTGTCAACATGTGTCAAATTTGTCATTAACACTTCCTGTTTCCAAAACTGCAATGACTTTTGACCCAGCACAATATACCATACCACATGCATTCCCAAAGTAGGTAGCATGTACAGCAATTTCCTTGTCCACATGGTAGCAAATTTGCAACATGTGTAACTAGCCTGCAGTGATAGAAGTTGGCAAGTAATTGATGTTTAGAGTAGCAATAAATATTGCTAATGAAGCAAACTTTATTAAATTGGCTCCAAAAGCAGCTAAATGATGCACATGAATGTCTGAAATTTATACCACTAATGTTTTCTTCAGAAGAAACTGACATCAGCAATGATTTTCAGATCTTTATTTCATTTGGTCTTCCCTTCTAACCTCTCTAAGTGTCCAAGTTTCATGTGGCAATTAATTAGAAACATTTTTTTCTCAAAGAGAAATAATAATAAAGGGTTTCATCATCCAACTTCTGTTAAAAAACAATGGCAAAACTCCCTTTTGAATTTTAAGAAGAAAATTATTAGATCCCATGTCTGTAGCTACTGATTACCATAAGGATTAATCTGAGAGGTTTGGAAGAATTTCCCCTAAAGCAGGAAAAGCCATCAAAAAGGCAATGTGTGAGACAGCAAAAGAAAAAGAAAAAAGAGTCAGTGGAGAGAAACCTGCATTTTTCTATAATCTCCATAATGAGTATGGTTTTGAAAATATTGACTTAGGCTGTTGTGTGTAGGCTTGTTGCATAAATTTATTATAGGAGTAAATTCCACATTTCCCTTAGTTTATCCACCAGGCCTGTCTGTACATTGAAAAGATTTTCTTGGGACTTGGAAAGGTGCTTAGCACAGGAGTGATTATTCTATAGTTTGCTTCCAGTAAGTAACACATGCTGCTATGACAGATACTATTGATAAGGAAGTAAGAAGAAAAGCAATAGAGTCATAAAAATTACCTTCTCTTAGGTTAGGTTTTGATATAAAAGACACAAGGATTACTCACACTACTCAGTGTATAAATCTTGTAGAACCTGAGTGGTATTCACCATGGAAGGTTTTGTGCTGGGGTCTGATTCTGTATCCCTTACACAAGAACACTGGTCAGCACACTCCAGATCTGTAATTTCAAAGCCTTTATTTGTGCTCTTAATCATAGTTTGGAGACCAGAGTTAGAGGGACAGCCTATGCTATTTCTTTGTTGGGCCTGGATTCCGTTCAGGCCCTGCACAGAGAAACAGCTTCTGTGAAGAATGGACTCCTGAGAAGAGCTGTGGTGTGAGAGACTTATTTTGATGACTGTTTTTTTAAAGGTTTTTGTTTCGGGGCCGAAGCCTGGATGAGATGTTGCAGATGTGGCATAAGGTGTTGAGAACTTCTTGGGCTGGCTCTGAGCCCTTGGCCTTTTTCTGCTTAAGTCAGACAGTAAAGGCATCAATACTATGTGGTTTGGGTTTTTTTCTCTCATCTCTGTATCACTGACAGCACATCTAGTGTCCTGCTCTGATGCCCCAGGAGAAGGTGTTATTTCCCATGTCCTTGACTTCCCCTTACACACAGCCTTCAATCATTTTGATCACACCTTGTGCCAGGAGCCTGTGTGATGTTCATCTCTGTTTCCTCCTGGATGGCCTGCCAGGGAAGTAGGAAAACCATGAAACAGGCTGGATTGTCTAGAGGTCCAACTCCTGACACAGATCTGATCTCTTTAGCCTTCTCCCTCAATGCATGTGAGAATAATCACCCAAATCCTATGGGGGCTGTACATGAACACTAAAAGAACTCTGTATGGAGACCTTGCAGGATAAGTGTGAACATAAAATGGATATTTCAGAGTTGCCATCAAGTTTTCCAGCCAAAAAAAAAGATGTCTTGGTGTCAACTGCCCTTGATGGAACAGTGTTTGTGACTGCCCTAAAAGTATTGTAAATGTTTCCAGTATGACTGGATAGGCATCCACAGAACCCCAGGATGATAAGACTAGATTACATCTGGGACCTGAGCAGGGATTCTTCTCTTTTGAATTCATCCAGGTTTGTTTCTAAAAACACTGACAGCCCTCAACAAGGACCTGTAAATTGCTGAGGCTGTTTGTGGACTGCTCACTTTGAATTATTTTTTGCTAGTTTACTGCACAAAGCCATTAAAATTATGATGTGCTTGGTTTGGGGTTTTTTTTTTTGCCTGCTTTTTGCATCATTTACACTTTCATAAAAAGGAATTTGGAAGGTTGAAGAGATTTCAAGGTGGCCACACAAATGCTTCTGGCGTAGAGTTTTCTATAAAGATATTCACACAATTATCCAGAAGTCCTTTACATACCTTGAACATTTTTTCATGAGCTTGAAAAATAATTAAGCTTCATTTTCCCAGGCAATGAATAAAGGGGCACAACATCAAAGCAAATGCGTGTGTGGTTTGTTCTTAAAGCATTGCAAATACTTCTTTTTGTCTTTTTTTTTTTTTTTTACAGAATCCTCCCCGTTGTATTCCTGCTAAATTCACTTAAAACCAAATCAGGCATATTTTGGGGCTATGTAATTTCTAAGCATTTCACAGTTTTCTAGGACATTACTCTAACATATGGTTTTATTTCCCTGTTAATTCCTTTTCCTGACTCTGAACATAAAATATTCAGGAAAGTATGATTTTAAGGATAGGATATTTGTATGCTTTGAAAAGGCTCCACCTTAGAGTATGTTTGGGATATGCACTTTATTCAGAGCAAAACAATGAGAAAGAAAAATCAAAAGATCATATAATTAATATACAGAGATAATACTTTACTGTGCAAATATATTGTCAATGAGAAGAGAAAAGGAGGAATATAGGAAGACTTGCAATCTGCACACAAAAAGGATCCATGTGTGAGAAGATCCTGGACAAAGCTGTTTCATCAGTTCGTTGTGGGCTGTGATAATAGTGCTAAAGGAAAGTTTTTAAAAATAAAATGTTGTGCTATTCTACCCCTGATTTTCACCAAAAAAAAAGTGCAATAGATTCTTCCTGTAGTGGAGAGAGAAGAGAAAAGGAGGAATATAGGAAGACTTGCAATCGGCACACAAGAAAAAACCATGTGTGAGAAGATCCTGGACAAAGCTGTTTCATCAGTTCGTTGTGGGCTGTGATAATAGTGCTAAAGGAAAGTTTTTAAAAATAAAATGTTGTGCTATTCTACCCCTGATTTTCACCAAAAAAAAAGTGCAATAGATTCTTCCTGTAGTGGAGAGAGAATTTATACAGGGATTTGCCAAAAGGCAAGCCACAATAATTATGGCCTTGTACACACCAATCCTTTTCCTGTACTACTATTTTTTAATTCTTTAGTGTAGGTCACAGCTATATTTATTAGTTTTGTCTTACTGGGATTACTGTCTCTGCATTCAGGCAGAATACATTTTGGTCTCTTTCCTCTTCTTCTACTTCTCATTAGTTTTCTGGAGTAATAAACTTCTCTCACTACTCTGAAGTAGTGATATAGTCTCATGAGTAAATTTGGCTACTGATGCCTCCTGTTTTCCATGGAAGACAGTCTTTTAGGCAATGTGTTAATTCCTCAGAATCATAGAGAAAAAAACAGTCAACTCCTTTTTAGACTCTAATTGTACCCAAAGGAGTTTTATCCAGATGAGGTTGACCCTGAAATGCCCCTGAAAGAAGTGGGAATTAAGGATACTCTGCCCACCCAAAAACTGAAGATGGTTACTTGGAAGAACATGATTTTCTGTCATAATATCCCAAGCACCACTAGAACACTGAGACTTGTCAGAAAAACACAGTTGTGTCAGCACTGTGCTTCTGCAGGGTGACATTGATTCCTTAGCTGCTTACTACATCATTTGTTTGTATGGAAACTAGTAATTTAGTGCTGGGAACAAGAGGATACAAAACATGCCATGCACTGCAAAGTGAAAGGGTTTTCTCTGGGGGTGTGTGTGTGTTTTTTTCCTTACTGTGGAAGAAGACAAGGTTATTAGTTGTGTGTCTGTTGTAGCAAGCATGAGAATTCAGGAGGTCTGTGCCACATTGCAATACCACCTGTTTTTTAGGACCAGTAGACTAGTACATTCTTTCTCCCAAACTACTTCGTCCAAATTGCAAGCCCAGCAATATCTCTATCTCTATATATAATTCAAGGGATGAAAGTGCTGTACAACACAGGTTCATGCATCCACAAAGGTGCTGATTCTGTTCCTGAATTTTTCAAAGGAAGATGAGAAGAAATAGTGGCACCTTGTAGATTTTCTCCTTTTGCTTGATTGTGTATCATTCTCCTTACAGTCAAAAGGATGGGAAAGAACAGCACAGCCTTAATCAATTAATTATATAGAAGTGTAGAAGAATACACACTGAAACCTTTATCCTTTATTAAATTTGTTATTTCCTTTGACTTGTGCTTGTGCTAACAACTTGAAACATTATTAAAAACATTCATAAAGCATAGTGACAAACCTTTCTCTCTTTCATAACGTTGCTTTGTGATATTTATTACCGAGACCAAGTTGGGAAGTGGAATTTTGTGGTGTTGGTAATCCATTGCTTTGTGATATTTATTACTGAGACCAAGTTGGAAAGTGGAATTTTGTGGTGTTGGTAATCCACAAAGCTCATCAACAATATGTTCCCAACAATCAGCAGCTCCTTTCAAAAGCTATCAAAAACATTGCATATTTTTTTTCCAGTTATCCAGTTTGGCTTCGTGACACTCTTTGTTGCCTCCTTCCCTCTGGCACCTCTCTTTGCTCTTCTGAACAATATCATAGAAGTCCGTCTTGATGCAAAAAAGTTTGTTACTGAACTGAGGAGGCCAGACACAGTGAGAGCTAAAGATATAGGTAAGCAATGAAAAAATATTGCAGTAAAGATAACACTAAAATACAAGTTGAAAAAAATATTATTGTGAATCCATTAATAAGTTCTGGTTTTCACTTACAGGAATTTGGTATAACATTTTGAGTGGTATTGGAAAGCTTTCAGTTATCATCAATGTAAGTATTTGGTTACACCAGTTTCTAACCACGATCTTGGGAGCTTATATTGTCCCTCCAACATTATTTAAAAGTGAAGTCTAATTATTGCTAAAAAATACAATTATATCTAAATTATCCAGTTCATTCTTGTGGAAGTGTAAAACATTATTTAATTACAAACTACCATTCTCTCATCTCGCTCTCTCTGTCCCCATATTATGTAGGACAGGAAGACTAATTTCCCACATAATTAATTAAGATCTGCTTCTCATTCATACCGATGCCTATTTATTTTTATTTTTTACTCTGCTTGTATAACTATTGGTATGAATAAAAACAATGTAACTATAACATCTTAGATTTTAGGAGAGGAAAGTCCTTACCTACGATTAGCATTTGTTCTGATAGATGCAGGCATAACATCTTAGATTTTAGGAGAAGAAAATCCTTACCTAGGATTAGCATTTGTTCTGATAGATGCAGGTATGGTTGTATCCCAAACCAGAATTTCTCCCACAGGCTGAGTATTTCTGTAAGAGTAACATTTTATTTTTTTTTAGTTGGGTTCATACTCCCTAGGCCACAAAATCTCAATGGAAAAATATATTCTTTCATAGAATAAGAATAATTACATGGACATAAAGTATGTCTGGTACACAGATGTATTATGTTTATAGTTTTATATATATTTCTTAAGTAACATTTTCCAGTATATATTCTAAGATAGAAAAGGCTTGTGCCCCAGGAGTTTAATTGTAATACTAACTAGTGAGGTTTTAACCCACAGATCTTAATCTCATAGAATTATTTAGGTTGGAAAAGCCCTTTGTGTTCAACTCCAACCATAAAATATCAAAGACATCAAAACCATTTGGAAAGGCAGAAGATTTTCACTACTGAAGAGGAAACCTGTGCAGAGCTGTTATGCAATTTATCTAATACAATAGTTCCCAGCACAGCAGCACTCGGTAGCAGTATCCAAGTTCTCATTGCAACCAGGAGAACTATAATGCCTTCAGAGAAGCAGTGCTGCTTGACTTGGGTGGAGCATTGTTCTCTTACAGCTTGGCAGTTTCCAGGATTATGATCCTTGATTATTTTCTCTGCCAAACAAAATGAAAATGTTTATTTCCTGTATCAGTTAGATACTTTTTCTTGACAGAAATGTAAATACGTGCATACCTATTTGAAAAATATACTGAATACCCAGTTCTCTTTCCTCATCTCAACAATATTGATACAGGAAGTTATAATTTAGAAAAATGTACTTTTCAATACTCATAGAGTCATAGGATGGTTTGGGTAGGAAGGAACTTGAAAGACCATCCACTTCTAACCCCCTGCCATGGTTAGGGGCACATTTCCCTGTACCAGGCTGCTCAGAACTCCATCCAACCTGGCCTGGAACACTGCCAGGGATGGAGCAGCCACAACTAATCTGGGAAACCTGTGCCAGTGCCTCAGTACCCTCACAGGGAAGAATTTTTTCCTAATATCTAATCTGAACCTACTTTCTTTCAGTGTGAAGCCATTTCCCTTTGTCCTGTCACTCCAGGCCCTTGCTAAAAAGTTCCTCTCCAACTCTCTTCTAACCCCTTTATGCAGTGGAAGGAGCTCTAAGGTCACCACAAAGCCTTCTCCTCTTCAGGCTGACCAGCCCCAACTCCCTCAGCCTGTCTTTAGCAGGGAAGTACTCCAACCCTCTGATCATCCTCGTGGCCCTCTAGACCTGCTCCAACTTAGCCTGTTTTTAGCAGAGAAGTACTCCAACCTTCTGATCGTCCTCGTGGCCCTCTAGACCTGCTCCAACAGGAGTGTGTCCAGAGGAGAAATCTAAGGAATTCTCATTGGTATGATCTAGACACTGCTGTGTCTTACTCACTTCACAATTGCACCAGTTTTATGGGGATGAAAGTTTTATGAAAGTTTTATACCATCATAAGATCTGCTCATGTCAGTTGTATAAATCCTGATGCAGAGGGGATTACTACCTTACATTCAACAGGTTTATCTCTGATAACACTGCATAACTGCACCAAAATATTCTCCAAATTATAGCAGTTATTATGCTTTTTGTATTTTTTTTTTTAAAAAAACCTAGTGATAAACCTCCTAATGGCTCCAGGGATGGAAAGAATTAAAGAAATGTACAGTACATTAATTGCTTTTGCTGCTCTATGCTGTAAGAAATACTGCATTTCCCTAACTCAGCCTTCCCCTGGAGAGACAGTGCACATAACTGTGCATTTATATGTGTAAATATTCTGTACCAGTTCTGGCCATTCAACTCTCACTTCATCACCACTCTAAATTTACTTGAACATGAAATTTATCCCCTGAATTAATTAACCTGAACCATGTTAGATTCACGATGCTGTTGTTTGGTTGGTTTTTTTCATCTCTCAGGCTTTTGTAATTGCTGTCACATCTGATTTCATTCCACGCCTTATGTATCAATATGCATACAGTCAGGATGGAACCATGCATGGCTTCATCAATCACACGCTCTCATACTTCAATGTCAGTCACCTCAAGGCTGGAACACAGCCAGAAAACTCCCCGTTTGCACAGGATGTTTTATTCTGCAGGTAAAGTACTTCCAATGACAGTTCATATAGTCAAGGTAATTTCTTTGGGTCTTTTGTCAGACAATCATTTGCAAAGTGGGAACTGATAATATTCAGTTATATGGCCACATATTCAGTAATATTCCTCATATTCAGTAATATTCCTGTGCCTTTGAAAAGGCACTTTTAAAAGCACAGATTTTAGAATATTCTCACTTTGTTAGAAGGTTCTCAAAAGGGGTTTTCCAGTGCATTAAAAGGCAAAATAAGCAATTAGTCAGATTTACTTAAATTAAAAAAAATCCTTTCTTTATTGAAAGACATGACTTTCATTAAAAAGAATGAACTTTTAAAATGGGCACACAGTAATTAGAACCAGGCTTTCTTTTTCTTTGTTAAATTCAGTCTTTACTTGCTGATACCTGAGTTTTCAATATATTATGCTCATTTTTAAATCCTGCACCTTTTGCCATCTATATGTCTTATATTTCAGACTCATCTTTTCAGACTGGGAAAATAAGGTTCAACTTCCTTTAAAATATATCCCAAATGTGAGATACATATGGAGTAGTTCTGGTTTGCGTGAGAAATGACTAGTGTAGCCTTGCCTTTGTATAAAAAAATGCAGAAATTCACGGATCTGGTTTAAGGCAGTACAACCAAGGCTGTTCAAAATTGAGCTCCTTGGGTCAGTGCTATATACAACAGCCTGCCACACCTTCTTTTTGGACTCCCTTGAAATCACACTGTCCTCAGTCTCTGCAATGGCTTGAAATCATCACAAAAGTTACTTTTCCATTTCTTTAAGTAGACCCTTCATTTCTATGTGTTTTGCTACACACAGGTCTTTGATTGGCTTCCCTTGTTTTGATGGGTTATGCATTTTGCACTTAGGATCCCACTGATTTTAAACAGAGTATGTATCTCACCCAATTATAACCCACAAAAATTAGACATCTCATTTCCTTCACTGGAAGCAGACTCAACATGGACAGAAATCTGGCCCTCTACTGCAGGCACTGTTCTTAGGATTGCCTTTGGGGCATATCAACCCTCTCACCTTGACTGCCACAGTGGCTAGATGAGAGAACAGTTAAGATTCTTAACTTTTAAGCAACTTAGAAGCATGTTGTTCCCTGTGAGCTCTGCTATTTCCCATTTCAGTATGTTGTTAGGAGTTTGTTAGTAAAATATCCCACATGAGAGTATGCAGCATCTCCATTCTTTCTGACAGACTTTTAAGTCTATGAAATGCTTTTCTGCTCCCAGTTCCTAGTGATTTTTAGTATGTATACCCAAATTAGCCTGTTTTCCTTCAGCAAGCATCTTGATCCACTTCACTGTGACTTTGCTACTTTCACTATGTTACTATTTACCTAGTGTCAGTCACTGGCCACTATTTGTGGTGTATGAGTATCAGTGCATTTGGAAATTGGCCAAATACAGCCAAATACTAAATGGAGCCCGAATACAGGGAGAAGGGAATCATCTACACTAGGTATAAAAGTGGTCCCTGCTTGATAATACCAACTTTATGCCACTGAGAAGAAGACAAAAATATGAAATATTTGACCATGTTCTAGTCTGGATGAGAAAGAAGTATGAGAGCATTTCTGTTCCCTTATCAGGAAGCAGTTAGGACAAGATGCCAGCATCCACACACACTGTTTCTTGTTATCATCTGCCTCATTTGAATCTTATCAAAATCTCAGCTTTGGACATAGCTATCAGTGTGATAAAATATGGGGTATCTAGCTTGTGTCCCCAGAGACAGGCAACAAACACTGCCCCTTAAGCTGGAAATAAAATCTGTATTTCTGTTTCTGGCAAATACGTTGGGAACAAGCTGACCTCTCTTATTCTTAGATTTCTGTGACCTCTGGAGATAAATGTGGTTACAATCAACCCTCATTTTGCTCCTTGAGGGCATTGCCAGAGATTAAGGTATCTTTAAAATAACCTTAACAAGCCAGAAACAACTCTGCCACCGAACATACAGAATACATTCTTTGGATATTTTGAGCAGCATTTTCTACGATGCTGTGAACCCTTTGACACTACTTCCAAATAAACAGTGCTGTAACACACAGCATTAGTTGTAATGATTTTTTTTCACAGAGAAAAATGACATTTGTGTAGCTGAAGGCAAATTAAAAGCAAACCTTTCTAAGATATGTGACATTTTTATTGGTTTAGCCCTTTTAATCCTTATAATCTGATATGATAATAGAGTGCATAAAAGCATCCTCTGAGAAGAGGAAAGCAGCAGATATGGAGTCATTAAAGGGACTTTTGCTTTAACACAGGTTTGCTCTAATATTCAGCAAATTTATAAAGTGTCTTTGAATGAATTAATTTTCTTAATGTCCTGAGGTTCATCTGAGCTACTCCTAAAGATCAGTGGTGGATTTGAACATTTTTCCCCTGAGCAATTCCTATATACTCCTGCCTTGCTGAAGCAGTACTTCCTTGTAATTTGGTCGTGTTTTCTTCAATTTCTTTTCAAAGACCAGCTGAAAAAGGAAATTAAACATATTAGCTTATTTGGACTGATTTGCAGTTCCACTTACATATACCATTTGATTTTTTTTTACCAGTCTTTCTTTTTCCCCACAAAATATACTTCTGAAATACAATAGCACCTTTCTCTTAGCTCTGGCTTCAGCTTGCTTTTGTCCAAGTATTGCATGGTTCTCTCCATCCATCCTCCCTAGCCCAACATTCCTTTAGTTTCAGTGTACATTTTTCTATTCTCCCTCAGAACTTTACTGTGCTCTATTCTTCAACCATGTTGACTACATCATATTCTTGTCCATTTTTTCACCAGTGGAATTAGAGTCACTTGCTATTTTTTGGAACACAATAGTCTTTGCAGGTCCAATTGTTTGCTGTTCCCAGCACACCTGCTGAATCAAATATTTTAAGAACGAAGAATTGAAGAGGTGAGGGAACTAGAGAATCACACAGTTACAGAATAACCTAAGCTGGAAGGATCTCACAAGGATCATCGAGTCCAAGTCCTAGCCCTGCACAGGACCACCCCAAGAATCACATCTGATTCTTAATACCTGAGAGTGTTGTCCGAGTGCTTCTTGAACTGAAAAGATGGTCTTTGTAAAAAGAAACTACCTGTAGCATATAATGGTTAGAAAAGGCCTGAGTTATTGTACTTTGAAGTCCCATGTGCCACAGAATAATTAAAAAAGGAGGTGGGGAGGAAACCCAACTACCTTGTCTGTAGCTCTGGCAACATATTCCTTCACTGTAAATCATTTACTTATGTTCTGTTGAATGCAGATTCAGGCATCACAAGCAGTGTGATTTCCAGCTGAGCCAGGTGAAATTTCCATGGGGTCTGATGTCTTGCAACACTTACATAGTTTGTGAAATTCAGAATACATTAAATGGAAACCCCACCACAGTTGGTGACCCTTCCAGGTGAACCTAGGCTCCGATTCAAAACTGGGATGATTTATAGTGCTAGGCAAAATCCACAACAAACTCCGTGGTTTTCCTTGGCTTTGATGTTCAAGCAGATTAAGTTCAAGGGAACTGACTCTGGGCCTGGCTGCAGCACTCAGACACAGATCTGAGCAACATGTGGGAGCCCACAGTGTGCAGGAGGGTACCAGAGGGGGTATCTCACAGGACAGGCACAGTATAGGAGTCCTCTGTAAGGCAGGACAGGGAGTTCAGCTGCTGTGTATGCACCACTGGGTAAAACAAATAATCCAGGGTCTAACACAGCCCAGATAGTGCTTCCATAAATTAATGCAGCCCTCAATTTAAAGTTGTTTGCTCCTCCTCTCCCACCTCCCCCTCCCCATTGTGGGTTGTTCCCTGTGTCTTTTGTCTCCAGAAGCTGCAGCACAGAATTACATCCAGCATTTCAGACTCAATTTCTTGGGGGTGGGGAAAGGTGGGATGTAGGGGATCCACGGATTGTAAATGTATAATTTAACATGCAAACCCATGTGGCTAGAACCTGAAGGTAATTTTGGTAAGCACACCTGCAAACTGAAGCTGACAGGTTTTATATATGAACCTTCTCCATTATCCCCCGACGGAGGCTTTTCCACAGTCTAATGAATCTTACTGTCAGGAAGGGTTTTGTGGTATTCAAAACAGATTTTCCCTTTCTTAATTTCATCCCATTACTTCTAGTCAAACACTGGGAACAGCACTAAATTATCCCTTTCAGTCCTAAGGGCACAATTTGCGCATGGTTATCATGTCCAACTGTGGTTGTTACTTACCAAAGTGGAGCAATACATGTGCTGCTCTTTAATCTTTTCTGGTGAGTCAGACTCCTCAACCCTTGTATTATTTTCGTGAATTGCCTTCAATTTGTTGCCATCTTTTTATTTGGTTTCCTTTCTTTCAATGTCCACCCCACCCGTCCATCCCCTCCATTGAAATCTCTCCAGCTGAATGGCTGAATGCAGCATTCCAGGTGTGGTTTTACCTGAGCTGTTCAGAGAAAGGCTAATACCCCCCAGCACCATCATGACTTTTGTTTATACATCCCCAAGTCATACTGTCCTGCTGCCATATTTCAAACTTGTGTTAACTTGCTGGCCACTGTAAGCTCTAGGGTATTTCCATTGCATTTTCTTTCAAATTCTGTCCTTTCAAAGATCCTTCAATTGTTTTATTTTTAATTATTTTCCATTTCCCCATATTATTCTCTTTGCATTTCCTGTCTCCATTTCTTATTGCTTTCTGTGTTTCCTGCTATTTGCAAAACTTTCCAATTTAGGAGCATCTGTGATTTTTATTAGCCTGTTGTTTACTTCCAAATGATTGATGGTAATACTAAAAGCAACAGTTTTTACACCAAACCACTAAGGCTGTTTTATCCTTTCTAAGGCTAGACAGTTAATTTAGGAAGTGCCTTTCCCATGGCTCCCCCTTTTGTTAATGCAAGGACAGGAACAACCAAAGAGTGAGTCACATATTATGTGGGCTGAATTGCTCCCTAGATTAATCAAGGTTTAGGTGAGATGAATGCAGGTTTATCTCCTTCAGTCTGAAAGTGCTTTAGACTATCTCTGTGCTTTCATTTCAACACTTTATTCCCTGGACACTAAGGTCCATTTAACATTCAGGGAAAAAAAGAAGGACATTTCTCAATCCTGTAGAATCTGGACATTTCCAATGTTAGAACAATGCCCTGATTTTGGTTACAACTGTGAAAACCAGACTAAGCTTGTTAAATTCAGTGGAGATAGTCCAGCTCTAATTCTGGAGTTGTATTTCATAATAAGGGTTGAAGTAGGAACATCTGGAGGATTTGATTCTTTAGGTTTTGTGATTGGAAAATTATGTTAATCAAAGCAATTGGTGCTGGAGGAAATTGCTGGAACTGTGTGTTAACTGAGCTGTGTCCATTGCCAGGTTCAAAGACTACAGAGAACCACCTTGGTCCCCAAATCAGTACGAGTTTTCTAAACAGTACTGAGCAGTCTTATCTGCTCGCTTGGCTTTTGTTATTCTTTTTCAGGTAAGTCTCTTGAGTTGCTTCAATTTCAGTTGCAGAAATGTCATAATGAATGGATTGAAATGCAGGTGCTGAAGCAGCCGATGCTCAATAGAGCTTTGCTGTTTGCAAATACCCTGCTGAGGTGTCAGTGGGCTGCAGCAGGTTCTCCTTTCAGAGCACTGTGGCACACTTCCTCAGCAGGCATTTCTTCTCCCTTCAAGGAAGGGAAGGCCCACAGCCTGCATTAGCCCTTGGCACTAGCAGTGGTCCCCAAAATACTCCAGGCTCTTGAACGTTAAGTGGACTCTGTCAACTTTTATACACTCAGGGGTAAGACTTGTAAAAAGCACATAAATGCTGGGTAGGCTTGTTAAATGGTGTTATTTACCCAAAGCAAGAAATAAAGAGGAGTAATAAATCCTCCAAGGTCTTTTGCTACTTTCTTGAAGTAAGCACAGTAAATTCTCCGCAGTATGGAGATTTCATTAGCAAGGGATTTGCTATCATGGCTTGCCTTCCAAATGGCTTCCTCCTGCTCTCATCCATGATCTGAGATCCCCCCACGGCCAAATTGGGCCCACTCCTCATAATGAAATCTGCCTGTCTTTCCTCCCCACCTGCCAAGTATTCCCAAGGTTGACTGTGAGTTCTGCCTGGTTTGTGTTGCCCTCTTCTGCTTCTTTGCTGTGCCTTTAGTAATTTTCCACCACTGGCTGCAAAACAGTTGAAACCAACTGGTTCTGCTGGGCTTCAAACAGCCTGCCAGTTCTGTCAGAGCACATTCCCTGCTTAATTAGCTTCATTGTCTCGGACAGGGACAGAAAGCTCATGCTAGCAGCCTTGTCAGCAAATGTTCTCACACATTTTGAGGCATTACACAACACAGCAGTTTTCAAAGCGTTATCATGATAATATAAATCCCCAAAGCATTGTTTATCTATAAATTTCACAAACAAGCAAAACTTTTTGCCTAGTCTGCTTCCTGCATCTGTGTAAAGAACATTACCTGTAATGACCTTGACACTTGAGGTTCAGGGCTGTGGCTTGCATGCTGTGGTAGTGTAAAAACAATCCTGCTTGTCAGCAGACAGAAGGATTTGAGGACAATGACCATTAAAGTTGTCTGCTGTCTGCTCAGGCCACATTGGAAACACATGGGTATGATTGTGTTGGAAGATGCCCTTATAGTAATGGATTCTGAACTCAGTATCAAGGAATTGGATGTAAAGAACTCAGCACCTTTGGATGCCTGTAAAGAATAAAACTGTTGTAGCTGTTAAGGCCTTGAATTGTTTGTTGAATCCAAGTCCTTTCCCATTTCAAATCTAACCGAAGCATGTGTTTAATTCAGCCTCTCCACTGAGGGGTAGTTGTGCACAAACTCAGGCTGTTTCCTGAAATAAAGCCTTACTCAACTGCTTAATACTACACACTGTCAGCAACATGTGTTGATACCTGTCTCATAGCTATAGCAAAGGATTGGTTGTGCTCCAGTGCAAGTATTTTGGATTTTTCACATTTCTATTGCTGTGTTTGCAGAACTTGGTGATGTTTCTCAGTGTTCTGGTTGACTGGATGATACCTGACATCCCCAAGGACATCAGTGAACAAATCAAAAAGGAGAAGAGTGTGCTTGTTGACTTCTTCCTGAAGGAAGAACATGAAAAACTGAAGCTAGTAGAAAGCTTTGTCACACGTGACAAGCGGAAACACAAAAGTGGGACCAAAAGGAAAAGGATCCGGGCTGCCAGCTTCTCCCAGAGTAACAGGAGTCCAAAAGGCAGCTTCACCTCCTTTAGCTCACAGCACACAGTGGTGTGACTCCTTAGGGAAGGGGAACATATTATGCTTACCTCTGCAATACCTGCTTACTGTGTGATGTCATTCTGAACCTGGAGCAAGGGAGGGAGAGACAGTCAAGCAAGGGACAGGGAGCAAAAAGGAGACTTCTTTTGCTTCCTTAAAAGCTGCACGTGCAAAGGTCTCCATTACATTTTATATGCTATCTGGGCTGCAGCATTTCCAGACTTTATCAGTGCAAGATAAGGGCTATATCGTGGCTGTAGCTGGTTCCTGTGGTGATGATGCAAACAGGTTGGGTAGGCATGGAGGAATTCTCATGGCTCATGCAGTCTCAGCAGTAGGACAGCAACTTTCCCTCTTCCTGCAGACACCCTGTGGGGACACTCCAGCTCTAGTAACTATCTTTGGGCAGTTCTGATTGACCATGGCAAAGTGCATGCAACTCATGGTCTCATTGCTTGTAGCTGCCAGCGAAAGGTTTACAAACATGTGGAGTCTCAAGGAGTCATTGTGCCTTCCTAACATACACTGCCACATGGTGCTATCTTTGTAGGGCGTTGCAGGGCTGTTGTTAAGGGCACAGAACTGTGGGAAAAGAAGGACTGAAAATCACTGAGGACTTGCATCTAGGGATATATTATGTTTTGCTTAGCAGAATCTTGAATGCATGTGCAGGGAGGCCACAACATGTGCATCAGAGTGACTGAAGCTGCAGAACCAGGAAACCTCCTTGTTATTCATTGCCCTGAACAAAACTCAACCAATCCAAGCTGAGGAGTAAGAATGGAATCAAACCCTGCAAATCATGTGGCATTTTCATGTACATTGTGTGTAAAGTAACCAAAATTGCTGCTGTTGTGATTTACTGTAAAATGCTTTGCAGAACTGCATTTCATTGGAAGATAAACATACTTACTAACCAAGCTTTCGCCTGCAAGCATTTAATGAATAATTTTATTCTGTCATGAATGAAAATTAAACTTTCTTTTAAAAATCTGTTTCTTTTACTGTAGATTCTGTCTCTGACCCAGCTCAAAATTCAGAGTCTGGGTAAAAGATTTGCTTCTCATTTTGTCTTCTCAACAGTGCTTTCAAAACCATCAAAAATACAAACCAAAATAAAAGCTTCTGTTTCAGGCATTATATATGTGATTACTCTTTAACATTATAATTATATTTTATATATTTCTGAAGCCTAAGATTATGTTGCTCTCTTAGATGGAAAGATTTTTTTTTTCTATGACAACATTTGGTAATACAATGAGAGATGTGAAGAGAATTTGTTTTGTTTTGTTTTGGTTTCTTTTGGGAGGGGTGTTGTTTGTTTGTTGTGCTTTGTTTTGTTTGGTTTTTTTATTCAGTGCCTAAACTAAAGCAAATCAAATTGGGAGAACTGTTTCAGGGTGGATTGACATGAAAAAATTAGTTTTACAGTTTCATTTTTAATATTTGATTTTGGGTTATTTATCTCTTCTATATAGCAATCAAATTTGAAAAGCTAACATCAAATTGAATAAATTTGCAAATGTATAACTTTGCTGAAAAAAAGCCCAACCTCTCAAATTTTTGCTTCTTTTCCTCTGTCAAAACTCATTTGCTGAATTTTAAATGTACTCAGAGACAGTTCTTCCCCTTTCAGAAACTGTTTGGTGTTTTTTAATTAATAACAATTTGCTGGGGATGTTTCCCAGTTCTCAGTTTACCTCTATATGCCTGAGGTTATAAATACAGCTTATAAATGTGCAAAAATGTGTAGTATTACAATGTTTCTCCCTTTAAAATGTATAAATTTTCTAAAATAAGCTATTTGAAGCGCTTCTGACACAATGACTTGTGTATAAACTATTGACTATGTACACACTTGATGTTTCTAATTGACCGAGATAGGAAAATTGGAAAAAAAAAGTCTACTTAAATTCAATTTAAGCCTCTACTCACCTCACAGTCACCTGTTGTCATGTGAACTGCATCCTTGTCATGCCCAAAAGTCATGTTATGGCATTTTGGGGAGGCTCAGAGGATGAGATTTGCATGGCCAAAACATAGCTATAAAAATATTAGGTAGACTCCCTCTGCAGTCAGCCAGAGAGACAAAGGCACCACATCCTGCTACTCATCCCATCTCACACTGCTCTCTGAGATGGGCAGATGAGACACCTCATACCTGAAGGAAAGGATGCCATCCAGAGGGACCTGGATAGCCTCGAGAATTGGGCCCATGGGGTTCTCATGCAGTTCAACAAGACCAAGTGCAAAGTTTTGTACCTGAGTCAGGACAACTCCTAGTATCAATCCAGGCTGAATGGATGGAGATCAGCCCTGCCAAGAAGGGTTTGGGGGTACTGGTGGGTGAAAGGCTGCACAAAATACGTGCTGGAAGCCCAGAAACCAACTGTGTCCTGGGCTGTATCCAAAGCAGCATGAGCACCAGGGCAAGGGAGAGGATTCTGCTCCTCTGCTCTGCTCTGGTGAGACCCACCTGGAGTGCTGCATCCAGCTCTGGGTCCCAGCACAGGAAGGACATTGACTTGTTGGAATGAGTCCAGAGAAGACTCTCCAGGATGATTAGAGGGAGGAATCACTTCTGCTATGAGGAAAGGCTAAGAGGATTTTGATTGTTCAGCTGGAAAAGAGAAGGCTTTGGGGTGCCCTAATTGCAGCCTTTCAATACCTGAAGGTTATCCAAGAAAGATGGAGAGAGACTATTGACAAGGGCTTGGAGTGACAGGATGAGGGGGAATGGCTTCCGACTGGGAGGAGGATTAGATTAGATATTAGGAAGAAATTCTTTCCTGTGAGGATGGTGAGACACTGGCACAGGTTGCCCAGGGAAGTTGTGGCTGCTCCAACCCTGAAAATGTTCAAGGCCAGATGGATGGAGCTCACAGCAACCTGGTCTAGTGGGAAGTGTCCCTGCCCATGACAGGGGATTGGAACTAGCTGATCTTTAAGGTTCCTTCCAACCCAGGCTATTGTATGTTTCTGTGATTCTATGTCCATCTCCTCCCCTGCAGTGCAGCAAGAATCCCAATGTCTGCCTTTTAGATTGGGCATTTGGACTTCCCAAAGCTACAGAAGGTCAGCACTGAACCTCCTGACTCAGGGTGCTTTAGATGTTTAGATCACAGAAAGTATTAGCAACTGCTTTTAGTAGTGATCCAGCATTCTCAAGTGATCGTTCTTGGTTTTGTTTTTTTTTTTAAATTTTGCTAGGTGCTTGAATGAATTTATTTTTTCAAGAATTTGGCTCCTCTCTGGAAATCTGTGACAGGGCTGATACATAATCTTTGATTTCCTCCCTCTATGATTGATATTTAAATGAGGAAACTATATCTCCTCGAAAACAAGTTGTCTCAATTTCCTTTCAAGAGATAAACAAGCCCTGTTGGGGATTCCATGGTTTAATACATTAAGGCAGTCAATATTAATGACATCCATTGCTTCATTTAAACTATGAAGATACTCTGGTGGAGGATTTTGGGGTTTGAAACTGTTAGAGCTTTGGAACTGTCTATGTTTGTTGTTAACAACTCAAGCTGATTGAAATTCAATCATGTTTCTTCACTACATAAAGCCTCTGAGGGGAGAAATGTTATGTTTGTAAATAGCAGAAATACCAATCTTGCCAGAGTTTTAGATTATCATAATGGCCCCTCTCTTTTTTTCCAGGAATGTGGGAGGGCATGCAGAAATGGGTTTAGAAAGTGATTACATGCAGGTTGCATGGTACCCTCTCTTCTGGTGGCTTGTTTGATGAAGGATATTCAGAGTTAAGGGGCTTCTTAAAATAGAACCATTTTGTACACCCTCTCTCCACCCAGGAAATACCCTCTTGTCTTTTTTAAAACTGTGAGTCACTCAAAAAGAGTCAGAAAAATACTGTCCCAAAGTTAAGTGCATTAGGCTGTTGTTACACAGAATTTCCATAACAAGCAACTGAAATGCTTGCTATGGTCCAAAAATGATAATGTGTTTCTAGATTTCCTAGCAAAAGGAACTAGAGAAGCCAGCAGATGTACACTGATGCTAAGAAAGTTCTCCTGAGGTTTATAGATTTCACCCAAACAAGGCTGGGAAAGCAGCACAGCAGCAATCACGGCTGACATCCAGATGGGATCTCCTGTGATATCACAAACAGGACAGACAGCTCATTTATCTTTATCTGTGATATGGTTTCTGTTTTTCTCTTAAACTCGAGGGTTTCATTCACTGAGAATTCCTGCATGTTTGGTGCCTGACTCAGGTGCAGTCCCTGAGGGTTGTATCTTTTGTTACCTTTCTATGGCAGCCTCTGGATTCTCCTGCCACAGCTGCCCATCAGCTCCTGTAATTGTAGATCACTGATCAGGTATTCATTCAGTCTCAGTTTCTAACTTATCTCTTTCAGACAAAGCAAGACTTTATCTGATCCCTTTTTTATCAGCATGATACTTGTAAGTCTACCCACAAAGTAACCCCTTGCCATAAGTTGTGTCTCAGAAGCAGAGAATGGCTGTTCCAAGAGATGTGGATGGAAAGTTCTCCATAGGGACTAAGAGAATAGGGATGAAAGTAGAAACACAAAGGTAACAAAACCTGTGAGCTATTGTCACTCCTTGCTCTAGCAATGAAAACCAGCTAAAATCTCTGCAAAAGAAAGGGAAAAAGTAAGTAGAAAAGAAATTGCATAGATGTTCCTGCACATTTAGTGCAGAATTTCAAAGCCCTTTGGATCACTCCAGACATAAAGAGAAAAACCCAATTATGACAAACAGGCAAACAAATGAAAAGCAACATGTCTATGTGTATGAGGAGCTAATACCACACTGAATACTACACTTAGTCACAAACCATCAAATCCACACTCATGGAGTCTCATTAATGGGAATGCATGTAACTGCACATCTAATCAGAACAGTGCAAATAGGAAGCAACAAATGGGAGAAATGAGGGCAGTATAAAGCCTTAACACAGATATAACTCCATGTGACCTTGTAGTTATCAGGCAATGTAAAGTGTGTCCACCACTCTGTGGCCAG